ACTTGAGGGGGGGAAGAGAGAGAGACACAGAGAGAGAGAGAGAACAAGGGAAAACCCCAGACGTCCTCCTCCTCCCTTGGAGCGCATCTCCCACCCGCTCCTGATTTGCCGTGGAGGGAGGGGGCCCCCGCCAGATTGGCCGCCCCCGCCCTCCCTCAGCTCGGTTTCCATAGAAGGGCTCCTGCCCATCACTGTCAAGCGCCTGCCAATCAACAGCGCCCGCCCGTCCAACGCAAGGAGCCGCTCAGCGCACCGGGCGCAACCCCACCACGCAGCCCTCCCTCCCCCCATAAGGGCGCCCTACAGATACAACCGGCCCTTTGATAGGGACCAAACTGCTGATGCGGCCCCCGATGAATTTGAGTTTGACACCCCTGTTTTAGAGATTCAGGGGCTGTTCTTTTTTCCTTTTTAACATGCCACATATAACTGTCTTTTCCTTCCTTAGTCACATTCTTTTGCTGTCATCTTCTCATATATGATCCCCTCCTGCTATTTTTAGGTGGCGCTTCTTCCTCTTTCCATGTATTGGTTGGGGTTGCCGATGCCCACTTACGTCAGTACCTCTTTCTTCCTCTTCTTTCCGTTACTCATCCTCGTCACTTCCCTGTTAATGAGGGAATTTCAGTGCTCTGTACTTTGGTGTTTTCCATCTGCTCTAACTTTTCTGCTGTTCCTTCCTGGGTGGCTTGTAATCATCTCAACTTCATATTTTCTTAGTCCAGCCTTTTCCTTCCACTAGTTCCTCTGCCAACCCCATGTTCTTGATAACCCCCATTGTTTTCCCCCCTGTCAAGCTAGGAATTTAGGAGCACTTCTTCATTCCTCTTTCCTCCCATGTTTTTATCTCTCAACAGTCCCGGCCAACCTAATTTGATTAACTCTTCAAAATCTGTTGTCTTCATGCCAGCATGGTGGTTACTAAGAGTGTGAGCTCCCAGGAAGGTCCCTGGTTCAAAATTAACCTTTGTTTCAAAGTTATTAAGTGACCTTAGGGAAGCCATTGCTCTCAGGAACACTCCCTCTACCAGTCCAATCTGTGATCTGAGAATAACACTGACCTACCATAGAAGAGTGTTGAAATACAGTGCTGCCTCGCATAGCGAGGTTAATCCATTCCAGATTAACCTTCGCTATGCTGAAGCATCGTTGAACGGGGCAGGGAATTCCATTGGAACGCATTAAACATGGTTTAATGCGTTCCAAATGGGCCGAATACTGACCGTTCAGCAAAGCTTCTTAATGGCCGGCAGCGTTTTTCGCGCCCTCCCCTCGCTTAACGAGGGCGCGAAAACGCTGCGTGCGGCCATTTTGGGCCATTTCCGGGCTTCCGGCAGCCATTTTGGCCGCTGAACAGCTGATCGTCGGGCTTCGTTTTGCGAAGATCGGTAAGCGAAACGCTTACCGATCTTCGCAAAGCGAATTTTGCCCTATCTAAAAAACGTTGAGCGATCGCATTAGTGATCCCAAAAAAGGGATCGCTCTGCGATTTCGTCGTTGTACGGTGCGCTCGTTAAGCGAGGCACCACTGTAGTTATTTAGAGAATGTACACAATGATTTTTAAGTGTAAGGAAATTTGCTGTTTCAAAGGTTTATTCTCTCACCTGATACCATGAAAATGCTGGTTTATTCTCTTAATTTTGTATATTTTTTGGTGTTCCTGTTTCTTATACAAAAACATCTCACCCCGCTCCCTGTTTTTCAGTATTGCTGCTCACCTAAGATTTCTCCTTCCTTCTTCTCCACCACCTCTCTTTTTCTGCTGCTCTGTAACTTTGGACTTCTCCTTAAATTCCAGGTATCTCTTTTTTTTATTCCTTACTCCTTGTTCCCCTTCATTTGCCTAGAATAAGGGTGGGCAACTTGTGGCCTGCCAGATGCTGTTGGGTTGGAGCTACCATCATTTCTTCTATTGGTTATGTCACTCTGGTCTGATAGATAATTGCAATCCAAGAGCTGCATGCTCCCAAGCTGATAGTTTCTCCAAAGCCACTCTCTGCCCATGGAACTCACTCCTACTAAATATTAGGCACGATAGTTTACGTTTTGACCTTGCCTTTGCATCTCTCTCCAAGAATTCTTTTGGAGGGTTGGTAAGGAAGCAGTTAGTGGCGGGAAACAAGGAACTTGAAAGTTGCAGTGCCCTTGGCATGGAGTTAGAGGAAGCTGAGCTTTATTGAGGAATGCCTGTTTTTGGAGTTGGGTGGTTTCTTCCCTTTTAAAATGTTTATATTTTCTCTTCCCATCCCCAATCCAGGCTATTAGCTCTCTCTCGCTTACGTGTCCCTTTGAGTGGCGATTAGAGGAACTGCGCCAGGCCACGGACGACTTCTCAGAGCACCTAAAGATTGGTGAAGGAGGCTTTGGCTGTGTCTACCAAGCTCGGCTGCGCAACACTGTCTATGCTGTCAAACTGCTGAAGGAGGTATTTCTGACAGATCTGAATCTAAGGTGGGGCCCCAGGTTCTGAGCCTCAATATTGTATCCCATTGTTCTTTCTACCCCGTTTCAAACTAATACAACACAGGAAAACTTGATGGCTTGATAACAAACTATATACTTTACCCATAAATGGCCAGGTTCAGTTCTTGACATCTCTAATGGGAGGGTCCCTTGGTAGGAGAGCTGAGCAAGAGTGCTGGTTCAGACTCTGGAGTGCCAAGGCTCATGGAGGTGAACAGTATTCAGGCTAATCACAGGATACGGAAGCATAATTTTTTTTTCTGACTGTATTTCCCAGAATCTTCGAGGCAGCAGGGCCACTGGTGATGGTGGCTAGGATTTCTGGGAGTTAACCACAAACATTTCCAAGTTCTGGTAATGGGACTAGCAGTACAACAGGATTCTCCATTGTCCCACCACATGTCCTTTGTGCTCGGTTGCAAGATGGGGGATGGAGGGCTGACTTAATCCTTTCATTCCACTTAGAATGCACATCTTTTGAGTGTTCTGTTTGTCCCAATGAAATGTTCTCAGGGGAAGTTGCTCCCAGTGGTGACTTACAAACTTTCTTTTTTTCCCTTTGATCTGACTAACAGGAAGCAGACTTGGATTGGATGGTAGTAAAGAACAGCTTTGTCACAGAGGTGGAAAAACTTTCCCGGTGAGAACCCTAGAGGTCTAGTAAGTGATAACAGAGTGGGTCCTCAAAAATTGGGACAGCACATTTAGGGGTTATGCAGAATTACAGGTGTGGAGGAGGAGGAGCAGGGGCCAGGTTATAGCTGCCATTTCTTAACAGCGTCCTTCCTGTTCCTAGGTTTCGCCATCCCAATATTGTAGAGTTTGCTGGTTATTGTGCTGAACAAGGCCATTATTGCCTTGTCTACGTCTTCCTTCCCAAAGGCTCCTTGGAGGATCATTTACATGGACAGGTACCCAGATGTACTCCTCTCCATTCTTGTTTTTCTTCCTAGTTACCTACTGAAATTCGGCTGGCACCCTCGCTGGGTGTCTTCAAAAGCCAACTGAAAACTTGGCTATTCAAGCAGGCCTTCCCTCCAGTCAATTAAGTGATGCTTATTTCTTATTTCTTTCCTTTTAACTCATGCCATCTTGGGACTCTTTGCTTTGCTTTAAATTGATTGTTAAAATTGTAAGTTCTTTGATTATATATTTTTCTGTTTTTATCTATGTAAATTGTGTATATTTTAAATTGTTTGCTATTTGTATGTTGTGAGCCGCCCAGAGTATACCATGTCTAGATGGGCGGCATATAAATGCAATAAATGAATGAATGAATGAATGAATGAATGAATGAATGAATGAATGAATGAATGAATGAATAAATAAATAAATAAATAAAGGGAAGGTATGTGTGTCACATGTATGCATAAATATATATGGATGGGTGTGCATGTATTTGTGTGTTTCCATAGATATGTAGATATAGGTAGACATACCCATACAAATGTGTGTGTGTGTCTATATGTCTGTCTGTCTATCTTCTGTCCCTGTGTATATAATGGGTTCTTGAGAAGGAGGCTACAGTATCGCCCTTGTTCTCTGATGTGTTTCTCTTTGTCTGTTCTTTGTTAGGCCGGTCTTGGCCTTAGTTGGGGCCAACGACTCCATGTGGCCGTGGGCGTGGCCAGGGCCATACAGTTCCTGCACAGTGACTCTCCCAGTCTCATCCATGGAGATGTGAAGAGGTGAGAGAAAGGAGGAGAACTTCCCCCAAGACAGGATGCAACCATCATAAGGGGCATGATTTTCAATCTAGAAGTGGAGAGGGTGTTGCTTCCTCCAGAGGAGAGGGCGCCCTCTGCTCCTCCGCCCATTCTCTGTTGGGAGGAAGTCTGGGTTCTTGCAAGGCAGCAGATCCATGGCTTTGTGCCCCATGATGCCACAAGACAGCAGGCAGAGAGGGAGGAAGTCCGCCTGTCCTGAGGAAGACATCTAAGCGTTACGTCTCATTTTTGGCAAAACCATTGGAAAGTGTACGTCTGTTGCTTTGGAAGGAAAACGAGGCGTTTGACTTCACTTTTGCCCTTGCCATTTTTGGAGCGTGCGTTTGTTTGCTTGCTTGCTTTATTTACAAGCTGCCTTTCTCTCCATAAGGGGACCCAGGCTGGCTCACAATATTAAAAAGAATAGACTTTAAAACATAATAAGTTAAACATTAAAAAAAACAATTAAATTATATACTAATTAAAATACAATAGAATAATTGAAAGCAAGTAAACATCAAAAACTATCTTAATTTTAAAAAGGTTGTTAAAGGCCTGCCTGAAAAGATGGGTCTTTAGCTGTCAGCAGAAGGATAAAGAGAGCGAGCCATCCTGATCTCCCGAGGGAGAGCGTTCCAGAGCCTGGGAGCTGCCACAGGGAAGGCCCTCTCTCATGACCCCATCAGCCATGCCTGCGCTGGCAAAGGGACTGAGACGAGGGCCACCTCTAATGATCTCATATGCTGAGAAGGCCCATGTTGGGAGATATGGTCCTTCAGGTAGCCTGGACCCAAGCTGTGTAGGGCTTTATAGGTAATGACCAGCACTTTGAATTGGGTCCAGAAATGGACTGGTAGCCAGTGCAATTCTTGTAACAGGTGCCTTATATGCTCCCTGTAGCTGGCCCCAGTCAGTAGTCTGGCTGCAGAGTTTTGCACCAGCTGAAGTTTCCGAACCTTCAAAGGCATCCCCCAAAGAGCGTTAGAGTGATGCAAGCAAGATGTAACTAAGGCATGTGTTTTGCACCAGCTGAAGCTTCCGAACCTTCAAAGGCATCCCCACAAAGAGTGTTAGAGTGATCCAAGCAAGATGTAACTAAGGCATGTGTCACTGTGTCCAAATTAGAAAGCTCAAGAAATGAGCACAGCTGGTGCACCAGTTTTAACTTTGCAAAAGAAAGCTCAAGAAACGAGCGCAGCTGGTGCACCAGTTTTAACTTTGCAAAAGCAGTTCTGGCCATCACCACAACTTGGTCATCCAGTCTCAGGGATGAATCTAGGGGTACACCCAAGCTGCACACCTGAGTTTTCAGGAGGGGTATAACCCCATCTAGCACAGGTTGTACCCCTATTCCCTCATCTGCCTTCTGATTGACCAGGGGCGCCTCTGTCTTGTCTGGATTAAGTTTCAGTTTGTTTTCTCTTATCCAACCCATTACTGATGCCAAGCACTGATTTAACATGCTTGAACATTAAGCAAGAGCAATGGAACTTGCTTAGCACATGGCAGCCATTATTTTACATTGCTGCCAGTCAGAGTTGACAGTGCTGAGCTAGCTGGACCAATTACCTGAATGAAAATAAAGCAGCTTCTCACATCTCTGTGACTGGATGGGAAGCGGGTATGATAACTCGAAGCAGTTTCATCCTGAGCTTTCTCCCAAAGATATGGTTTGTCCACCACTGCTGATCTTGTCCCTGGGATGTAGAGCCACAAAAATATTGGATATATTCTGTTTTGCATATATTCTGTTTTGTAACAACAGAATGGGTTTCTCAGCAGTGAAAACTAGAAGGCCTAGCTAGGGTCTGTCACACATTTATTATATTTCACCCTTTGGTTCACTTTTATAGCCTGCTTTCCTTCTGTTGTGGAACTCAAGGTGCTATATGAGTGACATGATCGCACCCAAAGGCCCCCTCTATTGCCGAGTCTGCCCAGCTTCCTGGTAAAGCCAACAACTGTGGGCAATAAAGCACAATAGGAGGAGGTTGGAGAGCATCTGGAGATGGGCCCCAATGGAATCTAATCTAAAAACCACAAAAATCACGTCAGGCATCTGGGATTGGTCATAGTGACAGGCCTCCCAGTAGTATTTACCGTGACCAATTTGCGGCCTTTTAAAAAACATAAAGTGGAGGCCATCTGCCGAGACCCTGACCCTCTTTCTTCTTCAGTAGGTCGAGCCAAGACATCCACTGCACTGCCTTACCTAACACAGTTTCAGCCTGTGACGTTGGTAGAGGTCGACAGGGTGCTTGACCGCAGTAGAGCCACTGCAATCTCCCTGGATCCTTGACTGTGACCAATTTGCGGCCTTTTAAAAAACATAAAGTGGAGGCCATCTGCCGAGACCCTGACCCTCTTTCTTCTTCAGTAGGTCGAGCCAAGACATCCACTGCACTGCCTTACCTAACACAGTTTCAGCCTGTGACGTTGGTAGAGGTCGACAGGGTGCTTGACCGCAGTAGAGCCACTGCAATCTCCCTGGATCCTTGCCTGGCCTGGCCTGGCTCATAAAAGCAGCCAGGCCTGTAACAACAGAATGGGCCACAGCTATTATTAATGGGCCTCTCCTTGATGGCAGGATTCCTCGAGCCCTCAAGGAGACACTTAATTAGGCCTATTCATAAAAAGCCGCATGTGGTGGTAGATGATATTAACAATTATTGACCTGTTGCCACTGTTCCTTTTCTCAGCAAGCTAGTGGAGAGAGAGGTGGCTGATCAGCTTCAGGCACTCCTGGAGGAGACCGATGCCCTTGAGCCATTTCAGTTTCAGGTTGTGCCATGGGACAGAGGTGGCATTGGTGGCTCTGGAAGATGACCTTTTGAGGGAGACAGAAAGGGGCAAAATGTGCTTGTTGGACCTCCTCGACCTATCAGCGGCCTTTGATACCTTCGACCATGGTATCCTCCTGGGGTGTCTCTCTGGGTTGGGGATTGGTGGCCTGGCCTTGGCCTGGCTCTGGTCCTTCCTTGAGGACCATCCTCAGAGAGTACAGCTTGGCGAGATGATGTCCACTCCTTGGACTCTTAATTGTGGAGTCCCTCAGGGGTCGATCATCTCCCCAATGCTGTTTAATATCTATATGAGGCCCCCGGGGGAGGTCATCGGGAGTTTTGGAGTTTCGGGTCACTAATATGGGGATGACACCCAGCTCTATCTCTCCTTCCATCCTTCTGCAGAAGATGCTGTTCTGTCCCTTGAGCGCTGCCTGGACAATGTGCTGGGGTTGATGAGAGATAATAGACTGAGGCTGAACCTGGATAAGATGGAAATCCAGTGGGTGGATACCTGTAGTGTTTGTGGGTTGGGTGCCGCCTCCTATTTTGGGAGGGGGCTGCTCTCTCTGCTAAGGATGAGGTTTGCAGCTTGGGTGTACTCTTGGAGCCAGCACTGTCAATGGAGCCTCAGACAGTGTCTGTGGTTCACTCCACCTATTTCCACCTAAGTTGGGTTGCCCAGCTGCATCCCTACCTTGTCCCTCACCATGTTGATTCATGGACTGTCATGCACTAGTCGAGATTAGACTACCGCAGTGCTCTATATGTAGGGCTGCCCATGAGGCTGCTGCAGAAACTTCAGCAGGTCCGGAAGATGGTAGCCAGATTACTGAGTGGTGTAAAGAAATATCAACATATTTTTCCCACCCTGGCCGCCCTGCACTGGTTACCTGTCCATTCCCGTGCCAGCTTCAAGGTGATGGTGCTAACTTATAAGGCCATAAACAGTTTGGGACCTTGATACCTGACAGAACGCCTCTTCCCAAAGTTGAGAGGGGATGGAATTCAAGAAACAAAGTTGAACTTCCTTGATTAAAACTTTGTTCCATAAGTAAGATTTCGAATCATGAGAGTCAGTATTTTGCACAGTGAAAACTGTAGCTTGGGACATTGTCAGAGATAGCTAAGCTAAGGATATCCCCTTCGAGCACTGCAGCTTTTGTTACCCGGAAGGAGCTGTTGTTAATTGTCCATTAAACTGCTGATGTCTTGGCTCCCTTGTCCTCCTTGGCAAACATGGTAACTGTTCTATTTTGGAGCATGTCAGCCCCATAAGAAATCTTCTCTTCCAAAGCATCCTGAAGATGCCTATGTTCCAAATCCACAGATCACCATAAAAACAAAGTCGGAACAGTCCTCAGGCCATTCTGGGTTTGATCTGTGGATCACCATAAAAACATAAAGTCCTCAGCACAAAAATGTGATGTTGGGTGCCAGTCAGCTTCCCAAACATCTTGGCTTTTTTTTTCTTTTCTTTTTTTTCCTTTTCCCAAACACCATATTTATTTCCAGCCATTATGGATTTTCAAGATGTCCTTGGGAGTGTGTGGGCAATGTCCGGTGCCGTCTCAAAAGCCAGAGGAGTTGTTAAAATAAAGTTTCAGTGATACAGCCAAGCCTGCCACGCCGTGTAACATTCCCTGTCCTTCTCCTTGTAAATAATGAACATAGATTTACACTCTAACTGGAGCTATGTAAAGGGAGAGATGTAAAATAAGAGAGATCCTGCAGAACTGGACCTTTCTGGCTGTACACTTTGAATAACTTTGGTGAAGAATTCATAGTGACAAGATGAAGACAGCTTAAAGGCCTTTGCATTTCATACTTGTTAAGGCTCGTGTTCAGGATGAGAGCATGGGAGGCCATGTGTACAGACTGAAAGTAACCTCTGTCCTTTTTCCTGATCCTCGCAGTTCCAACATCCTCTTGGATGGGGCACTCAACCCTCGACTAGCTGATTTTGGCTTGGCACGGTTTAGCCGCCGACCAAAACAGGGAACTATGAGCAGCTCACTGGGCCGGACCCAAACAGTGCAAGGCACGCTGGCCTACCTACCCCCTGAATATATCCGGACGGGGATGCTTTCTACCGCTATCGATGTTTTTAGTTTTGGCGTGGTAAGTCATTTGACAATGGGAAAAATACAGGAAAGATAATCCGATGAAGGCATTCGATGGATGGAAAAAAACCAAGGGTGTCTAATTCCCAGCCTCCCTGCCAATGACACGGCTATCAGGCCTCTGCTTACAAACTTCTAACAAAGGAAATCCAGCTGTCTTTCAGGACAGTCTCTTTATTATTTAGTCATTTAAAAACATTTATAGCCCACCCTATATCACAAGATCTCAGGGCAGGTCACAGAGCCACTCTCAAGCAGCTTTTAGTGTCAGAAGATTCTCCCTGTTTTCAAAATATTTTTGGTCTGTATCTTTTCTGTCCATCTTTTTAACAAACAAGTTGACCTCATACTCTCATACATCTGCTACTTCCCTCTCCAGTTCCCTGACTCACACATGCTTTATCCAGGCCTCCTGCTTCTTCATGCCCTTCGCAGGACCTCTGTAGCCCTCCCAAACTGGAGAGAGAGAGAATTTGATGAGTCAGAAAAGCTGGGGGATATGACCAGTTTGAAAAGATATTCAGTGCTGAGTCAAGATTCAGAGGTTTGTTATCTTGAGGTAACACTTGTGTGTGCTAACAGTAACAGGGTAGATCCGTTATGCTCTCATGCCTGTTGTTGGCTTCTGCACAAGCAGAAATTATTAAATAGAAGGACTTATTAATTAATGGCACAAAGGGGGAGGGAAACACGCTATATATCTCCCATGGCACTTAATCTGTACTGTCCTTGGTTTGTTTTAATACCAAAGTCCTCTGGACATTGTACAAACTATTAGAAATATAAAATGCCAAAAGTAGAATAACATCTGAAGAGAGAGAATCTGATAAAACCAGAAGGAAAGAGTAAAAACACCCCAGGCAAAGGAAAACTTACAGCAAGGTAAGAGAGCTAAGATCTGAAAGCACTAAAAACAGTTTGTTTTGTGTTGCCTCTCACCTGTTTTTCTCTTGAATTCTGTACTTAACCATCAGAAAGAAGGTTTTAAGGGAAGATTTCTCCCTTTGAGCAGCCAATTTATAGACATAATTACTGTACTTATTGTTTAACAAATTATATGCAGAACTATGGAGAGAAAGAAAGAGACGTGGTGGCGCTGTGGGCTAACCCGCAGAAGCCTCTGTGCTGCAGGGTCAGAAGACCAAGCAGTCGTAAGATCAAATCCACACGACGGAGTGAGCTCCCGCCGCTTGTCCCAGCTCCTGCCAACCTAGCGGTTTGAAAGCGTGCAAATGCAAGTAGATAAATAGGGACCACCTCGGTGGGAAGGTAACGGCGTTCTGTGTCTAGTCGCACTAGCCACATGACCATGGAAACTGTCTTCGGACAAACGCTGGCTCTGTGGCTTGGAAACGGGGATGAGCACCGCCCCCTAGAGTCGAACACGACTGGACAAAAATGGTCAAGGGGAACCTTTACCTTTACCTTTTATGGAGAGAAACCCCATTACATAACCGTATTGGTCTCTGGGACATCCCACAACGTATAATGGCTGAGCTTTTTGACAGATAGTGATGGTGGCACTTCTACAGATTATTGGAGTTATCAAATCAGTAGGCTGGATTCACAAGGGCAATAACACTAGTTGATCCTGATTTTTAGTTATGGCATTGTTATCCTTATTTTAATCACCACTGATAAGATTTTTAAAATATGTATTACAATGCATGATTGATTGTTTACATGATACAAGAACTGAGAAGCAGCAAAGTGCCAATTATAAATTTATATAAAATTATATGACATGAGAAAATAATAAGTTTAAATAGGGAAACACTTCATTGAATGAAATTAGTATAAATGGATATGAAATAGCCATACTGTATTGCATTGTGCTCTGGGAATGATATTAACCTCTGTTAACACATAGGAGGGGTGATTCTGTGCTCAAGCCCTAGAGAGCCAGGATCCTGGCATCCATACAAGCTAGGAAAGCAAGGTGTTGGGATATTAACTTCCTGAGAATCCAGAGGCTTGGTTTAAAATGTTTTGATTGTACTGAAATCCAAGGGTATAAATAAGATCAATTCGGCCTTCTTTAGTTTCAGAGAAGACACAGAGATACTGGCCGACTGAACTAGAATCAGAGAAGTTACTCTTTTTCCACTTATAGCTCCGAGAATTCTCCAGACCAGTACTTAAAAGGGGTGATGGCAAGGCACTCCTGTTCAGTAGCCCTCTTCTATCCTCCCTCTTTTCCTCCCTTGTTATTATGCTTTCCAGCTGACATAAACAAAGCCCCTCTTCATTTCACAGGTCCTGTTAGAGCTCTTGACAGGTAGACGGTCCATGGAGGTGGATTCACGTGGACGTAGCAAGTATTTGGTGAGAAGCTGTCATATTTCCCCCCCATCCCCACCAGCTTATTAGTGTGCAGTGATCCTCACTGATGCCCGCCAATCAGTCCTGCGGCTGCTTCGTCCCTGCCAACCCCCACACTACTAGCTTTCTGATGGACTGTCCACTTCTCTGTCTTCAGAAGGATCTGCTAAATGAAGAGGAAGAGCAAGGAGCCCAACCATCATCTGCCACAGAAACTTCCAGCTGCTCCCAAGTAGCTCAACTTGGCTCTCACCTCTACAAAAAGTATATGGACCCGCAGGCCGGGCCTTGTCCAGAGCAGCTAGCTGCAACCATAGGAAAATTGGCTTGCCAGTGCCTCCACCGACGGGCCAAGCATCGTCCCCAAATGGCTGAGGTAGGGGTACAAAGCTGGCATTTGATTATATAGGTCCTTGTTTTGAGAGCTCAGGTCACAGATACCAGACTCTGCTTAAGATTCTGCCACACAAAAAGCAAAGCAAAAGCAAAGTGTGCTGCTTTTATACCACCCCATAGTGCTTCAAGCACTCTCTGGGTGGTTTACAAGTTAATTATGCAGGCGACACATTGCCCCCCCCCCCCGGGAGCTGGGTACTCAACCTCAGAAGGAGAGAAAGCTGAGTCAACCTTGAGCCAACTACCTGGGATTGAACCCCAGGTCGTGAGCACAGTTTTGGCTGCAGTACAGAGGTTTAACCACTGCGCCACAAGCCTTTGACCATGTTCGTATCACAATCCTGGACTTCTTTTTTATTACTGCTGTAAAGCAAACTGAATACCTATATATATCCATGCTGTGGTGATGATGTTTTATGTTCATATGAAGCCTATTCTCCTTTTACATCACTAAACTTACTTACATATGCCGTTTGTCTCTGCTTGCTGAGTGTGTGCTGTTTGAACATGCACATGTACATGTGTCTTACCACTGACCAACATTCAAGCTGCCTGCTTTCTTTTCTTTCTGAATCCCTTCCACCCAAACTTCTTAGTAGTTGACATGTCAGCCTTCCTCAGTAGGTTAGGAAGAGCTCAGGCCAACTGGCAGAAACAAGCATTTGACCCTCATATAGCGGACTGCATTTACCACAACTCCCCCTGCTCTTTTCTTAGATAACTTTGATTTATAGGTGAAGCATAATTTTTCTGCAATTCCTTAATCTGGTATTGCACCTTTCTCGTCCAGTCCTCTAAAAAATTGGTCCAAACTATGCTTAATTTACAAAGTAATTATTACACATCTCTTGTGTTAGTTGTGGGGAACTGGAACATAAACTTTGAATATCCTATTATTAGAGCCCATCTGTGCACAATATTTAGACTGTTGAGTGTCAATGTTAACTTGCTACTTCACAGTTATAGTATCCCTCTCTTTGGACCCTTCAAATTTAAACTATGGGGGTGATTCAGAATTTTGTACTGGAAGGTCCCTTTTGTACTGGACTGTGAAGCTTCCAGGGAGTTGACTATTATACGAATCTACCTGCGAGGATGAGAAGTGGGCTGGTGCCAGCTGGGCTAGTACGTGGCACCCTGACCCAAGTTCTACCTAATTGCTTTGGTTTCTTCTGCATCATCTGCTTTATACTGATACCAAGATGTCCGCAGCTAGCCTGTAGTATTTAATTCACCACTGTCTTTACATGTGGTGGCTGTCCTTTGAAAGAGCTTCATAAAGATGTGAGAGGAAAACTGGTTCTCTCATAGTGGTCAGGTCAACACATTCACTGTTACCCTGTTTCCCCAAAAATAAGTGAAACCCCGCCCTCCACCACTGCGCAGCAACCAGAAGATGGCATGCCTGTATTTGAATAAATGTAGCGTTGTACATGAAAAAAAATAAAACATCCCCTGAAAATAACCCTGTCTTATTTTGGGGGAAAAACATGGTATATTATCTGTTTCCCTTTGGATTTCTAGGTAATGACTATGCCCTGGAGCTTATTGCTAAGAGGCTGAGATACTTATTGTTGTTCCTTACAGGTGTACCAAGAGCTGGAAAGGCAACAGTTATTACTTTATGGGGAATCTTCTGCATCTGTGTTACCTTCAAGACAATCACATGTTCCACAAGAAGATTCATACCCTTCCCGACCTTTGAACCAACCTGAGGAAAGTGATGAAAGTGTAGAAGCCAACATTGGGTTGGTGAGCTACAGAAGCGTCCCCAGAGGGAGTGTCTCTCTAGGCCAACAAGGTGAGAGACTTTGTGTGTCCATCTACTCCTTTTCCCACCCCACATGCCTCCTTTAGTTAGCCTCCGTTTTTTGACCAAACACCTATTGGCAAATGGCAATCAAGTATTCAAAGGCAAAAACATGAGCAGCTTGTAGCCTTCTGGATTATGATGGTCTACAATTCCCATCAATCCCACACAACACAGCTAGTGAAGAGGGATTGTGTGAGTTGTACTCTAATAATATATGGACATCCCCTCCCCTTCCTCAATGTAATGCATTTATTAAGTACAGGAAGACCTATTGGTCTTAAAGAAATGTTAATGGTTAGGATATTTTTTTTCTTAGCTCTTATCTGAATTGTTAAAGATTGTCCTAACAACTTGAAATCTTGCCTGAATATGAGCCAAACATACCTAGAAAATGATAAAAGGCAAAAGTTGATTTTTGGACTACAAGTATAAAGAATGTGCACCAGCATCTGAATTAGGTTCACACAAGTGCCATATCTACCAGATGTCAGTCCTTATGGTTCTGCTCTTTCCTGTGTGTGTGTGTGTGTGTGCGCGTGTGTGTGTGAGAAATGATGCAGTTCAGCTTTTAAGCTACCAACTCACATAGTCATTTATTCTTGGCTTTGTTGTTTGACTGTGAACATATAGGACCAGTTCTACATACAGGAGGCCTACGTTTTAATGCTTATCATGTCTAAGCCTGGGAAAGGTTTCCGCCACATCCCTAAATTAGTCATTTGTCCCATAGATAGTCCACTGTGGCCCCAGTGCAGCTCTGAAGGTTCCTCACTTGTACTGTAGCCATTGTTCGGACAATGATTTGACTTGGTATCAGGAAGGCTCCTGTCATATATATGTTGGTGCCTCACTGGTTTGTGTATTTTACTGTAAAGTGTGTAACTCTTGAGTCACCTCTGAAGAATTACGGCTCTTTTGATAGCTGCCAGCATTCTTCATTTTTTCAACATTTGTTTTCCTATTTCTTGTTTTGCAGAATGCTCCTGTCCTGCATTGCCTGACATTAATAAACCACATCTCCAGTTTAAAATCATTAATCTGTCCCTCATTTACTTTCATTTATTAAAATACTGTAAACTTTGCTTTTCATTGCAACATTCTCAAGGGGCTCTTAACATTGCATTGAAAACATTAAAATTTAACTAACTAAATAACAGTAAATCTAGAGTAAAATAGCAGGAGCACCTATCAACCTTTGAAGAAACAACAGTAAAATATGGGCATTTTCAAACATGCAGGAAAACATTTTTTCTCCCCCCTCCCCCCAATCTGACATCTAGGAAACCCCAACTGGCACAAATGGGGGAAGGAAAGCAACTACCAAGAAGGGCCCTGTTCTTGGTAGGCGCCCATCTTTACTTAGAAGGGGAGGGACACCCAGAGCTGGGCCTGCAATGACTATCTTATCCCTGGGGCAGGTTGCCACTCAGTGATTGGCTGTTTTCTCCCTGCAGATGACTCTGCCCCTCAGATCATCATCAACCCAGCACGGAGGCGCTTGATGAAACAGCTGGACCTCTACCACTATGGAGTGCTGAATAGCCTAGATTTATTTGCCTCTGTGCCTCCGGGGGAAGGTAGTCTTCCCACTTTTCTTCTACTGCTGCAGCTACTTTTGGAAGATGGCATTATTTTCATTTCAACTTCAAAATGACCCTATTGAATTAGGTTGGGATGGGCAGCATCGGGCAAACCAAGGGTCATTTTTCAGATTTGCCAGCAACTTGAGGGCAACATTCCTAAAGGTGTGGGGCTAAATTGCATGTACGATGTTTGTATTTAGAGGAAAAAATATTCAGTATGTATGTATTGTAAGGGTTTCTGATAACTGAAAAAAGAGAAACCCCTTGTGCCCTCTAGTGGCCAAAATATATATATTTAATGAAGGCTTTCACGGCCGGGATCTAATGGTTGTTGTGGGTTTTTTGGGCTCTTTGGCCGTGTTCTGAAGGTTGTTCTTCCTGACGTTTCGCCAGTCTCTGTGGCCGGCATCTTCAGAGGACTGGAGTAGGAACTCTGTCCATGCTCTGTTGCTCTTTGTTTGATAGTTGAATATTTATAGCTGTGGGAACAGCTTTTGTCTTTTTTCAGGAGATAAGGTGATCAATATGTTTTTGTTGTGATAAAGGGGGGGAAGAGATTATCTGTCACTGTGATTGATGGGTGTCGTTAGCTGGTCTTTTTTGTGCAGCGATCCCTGGCCCCCTGGCACTTGTGGCTGGGTAGAGTTTGTTGACCTTTTGCAGGCTGTATTTTTCAGAATTGGAAAATTGGAAAATTCAGATATCCATAAACATAAACAGAGCTTCAACAGAAAGGAAGAGGGCCTAAAACTAAACACAGCCTGGCTCCCAATTCTGAAAAATGCAGCCTGCAAAAGGTCAACAAACTCTACTTTGGGGAATTCTTCTCAGGATATGTAGGGCAAGCTTTCATTGGAGAACTAAACCTAGAGCCTCTTTCACCAAAAGGAGGAATCATCTTGTCAGTCAGTGGCAGCTGATCTGCAGAGCAGACCCAAGTTTTAGGACTGTCTGTTCCCTCACTGCCAGTGCTCTATGATTTTGATTTTTGTGTTCTTGCAGTGAGTGTGATAGAATGCCCTGTGGCAGCTGTGATCTGTATACTCAGAGGGGGAACTTAGAAGGGTTATGTTGCGCAAAAGGGTGGAGCATTGGTTGTAAAGTTTTCTCTTTTTGCCTTTTCCAGGGGATGTTACGGAACCTCCTCGTGAACCTGAAGAAAGTGATGAATTTCAATGATGAATTTGATGGATATGAAAGGATTAAAGTTCTCATTGCGCTAATGGCACTTTGCAGATTATAGGGACTCTGCTGGTTGGCTGGCATGCGTAAATGCGGTCTACCAGCCATCTTGTGATAGACTTGTTTTTCATGGAATCTGGCACCAGGGCAGCTGCATGATTCAAAACAGGAACTGGAGTCTATTTCAGTGGGGACCAGAATCTGTACATGAGAATTCAGGGGGACAGTACTTATTATGTGGATTTTACTAGTGTGATCTCCCCCAAGTAGATTCCTCACTACACACAATTTTTTCTTGAACTGGTTGTTGTTGCCATTGTGTGTCATCAAGTCATCTCCAACTTATGGTGACCTTATGAATGAGAGATCTTCAAAATGTCCAGTCTTCAACAGCCTTGTTCAGCTCTTGCAGACTCAAGCCTGTGGCTTCCTTTAGGGACTCAATCCATCTCTTATTTGGCCTTCTTCTTTTCCTGCTGCCTTCAACCTTTCCCAGTATTATTGTCTTTTCCAGAGAATCCTGCCTTTTCATGATGTGCCTAAAGTAGGGTATCCTCAATTTCTACATTTTTGCCTCCAGAGATAGTTTAGGCTTGATTTGATCTAGGACCCACTCATTCTTTCTGGCAATACAGAGTATCCACAAAGCTCTCCTCCAGCACTATTTTTCCCTGTCCAGCTTTCACACCCATACACGATGACTGGAAATACAAGAGTGTGGATTATCTTGGTCTTGGTCTCCAGGGATACTTGAACTGATACAAATAATAAAACATTTTATATATTTGTAACTAGTCTATGTCCTTCTGGTTTTCAGATTATACTAAGCTATCTCCAGAGATAATGGTTTATTTAGACAAGATACAGGACGCACAAGTAATTGTGAAAGCAGCCTGGAAAGCCAGTGATCTTCTCTCCACCATAGTGGCTAAGGGGGAAAAAACTAACAGCAACCCTGCATGCAGTCTGGAAATTCTACCTGTTGTCCCCTACCCCACCAGCTTTTCCAAAGTGGACATTCAGGGGTCACTATGGTATACAAAACCCAAAGCCAAATAAATATATTTACTTGTTTTAGAACTGGGATCCAAGGCAACCTACTATATATTTAACAATGAGTGAAGATAAAAACATGGGAAGTTATAAATATTAAATAATTAAACTCAGTATTAAAACAGTTGAGTTCCGAACACCTAACACTGCAATTAAATAATAATCATATTTTTCAAAAAATATACCACATTTGTTAAAGCCCATCAACAGGCAGGCAGATGCATATGGGCTGCCTGAATAGAAAGGTCCTTTTCCTGCTAATAGGACAATGAGAAAGAGCTGTGCTAGCTTTCCCCCAGAGACTGACATTGTTTGGTAGCAGTTGTCAAGAAGGCCATCTCTGCTATCCCCATTGAACATGCCTCAAAAGATAGCAGAACTGAGAGGAAGGGCATCTCCTGCGGATCTCAGCCCACAATGGATAATGGGTTAGGCAATTGAAAGGGCAGATTTCATGTTCAGAGTAACTGATATTTAAAAAATGAAAGTACTGAGAATAGCCTGGCAAGAACATGTTACAATATGTTAGTCTTGATGTTACAGCGGTGAGAAGAACAGTTGCCATGTCTCCATAGATTGAATTTTTATCGATGTGTCGGATATCTCTGGCAATTACTGCAACTTGAGTCTTCCGGCTCCAGATTGTGAATGTAAATGACTGGAGGAAATTAAACATGTATCATAGCATTAGCACTCCCCACTCCCCACTCCCCACCTCCCAATCCCTCAAGCACGACACAAAAGTACCACATTGCACTTACATGAGCTGGACTACCTGCTCTGAATAGAGGCATATGACAAGAGTTAACTAAGGCCACTTAAGCTGAAAGACAGTACATGTTGCAGGAGTTTGTAAGCCTGGCAGCCCTTAGTGATCTGGGGATGGGAAGATATCATATGATGCAGAACCTTGAGTAAGCCAGTTGTTTTGGACTTCAGTTCCCAGAAACCCCAGCCACAATCAGGATTGTGGAAGTTGCAGTTCAAAACATCTGGCAGTTCTCCAGCCCTTGTACTGTGTTATCTCTATAGTATAGCAGAGAAATACACTTGTTTCCCATGGCTTTCAAAATACAGTATCTTTGTTTCTTTATTGGTTGTCTGCACTTCAGTTCTCTTCTATTGCAGGAGGAGAAATGCTGAGAATGGAAATTCTTTCCCCATGAGTTTAAATGGAAAAGCTAAAATCCTGAAACATTAGGTCATTTTTCAGAGACTGCCACCTCCTTTTACTCAACCACAATCTTTCCAATCAGCTGTGAGCCAGGGTATATTCAACAGCAAAGGTATCTGCCAGTAAATACTGTACCCAGTTTTATTCCTCTAGCATGGATTTGTAAAAGCACCATTACATGTCTAAAGCCCACAGGTGGAGGCAGGAAATAAACTACATGTTATAGAAACCAACACTCCTATTATCTTATTTCATATTTAGATAAGCTGGAAGACTTATTTTTATGATCTGTTTATTCTTTCAAATCTGACCATTTTACATCCTTTGTCCATTATGCCAGTGGTTGTTGTCCTTTAATAACAAGGCTATAAAGTTTGGTTATTAAGATTGTGGATTAATTCATTGACACTTAAGCTGGTATTTTCTCAGTCGGGTAAAGAAAAGAAAAGCACACTGGAACTGCAGTACATCACAGATCTTGGACCAAAAATGGCCAGTGAAACGGTGGAAGGGTGGCCACCTTGCCAGCTCCTGGTCCAACAGCTTGAGAGTTACAAAACCCAGGCAAGAAACCATCCCCAGTATCATGATCCAGGCGGACATGGCATTGCCCAGATGCCTCTGCACCTTCTGTGCCCTCCAAACAACAACAAAGATGTGTCCAGCCAATGCCAGCTCAAAACCTTGGTTGTGAAGCAATGCCAGAATATAGCTTGCCAATGAAGTAACTTCTATAGCTAGAAAAGTCCTGGTTTGCCAACCATACTCCAGGAAGTGGCACCAGACAGCAGCCCAAGCAAAAATTGGCAATGTCAACCACTGATCCAAGATAGCAGCCCAGTGATGCTGCGTCCAGAGCCTAACCCATTGTACAGGTCCATACATGAGTGCCATGAGGGCAAAGACCTCCTGGAGGTAGTGCATCGGTCCATCCCCGTCACCTGAGGGCAGCCAGTACCAGCCCAGAAGTATGTAGGCCACATTGACTAAGCAATTGGCAGGCATGGCCAAAATAGCCGGCAACTCTGGCACAGTGGGTTCAGCATAGTGCTCATACCCAATCTCCGTATGAACACCATCCAGGACCCCTGAAGCTACAACTCCCACACAAAACACCAGACCTCCAGCGACATGCAACAGGGCTTCTCTGCCTCCTGGTTTCATAGCAGTCTTTTCCAAGGTCTGGCCCGACTTTCTCTCTGACAAAGGCCGCTCTACCGCTTCCATCCTGATTGTTGCTCCACGGCTTGAAAGCTTGCTTGCATAAGTGTGTGTGCGCTCTTTGAATTCCTTTCTTCCAGACTGTGACTTCACACAATGTAAGAAGAAAATCTGAAGTGGACTGACACCTCGGGCAGGACAATTTCCTGCCTTGGTGTGGATTTTGACTCTCCACCCACTCCTGACAGGGGGAAAAAAGGGAGCCGAGATTGGAAGCACCAGGGACTGTCACACTTTTATTTTGCAAGCTGAATGTGCTGTTGGCCTTCCCCCTTGTCCACAGCCCTTCCCCTCCCTTCCCATCAGACTTCAACGTCTGTGTAGGACAATGTTCAAGCGCAGGTTCAGCCTGTTTCCTTAGCAGCCGCTCTAGTCATGCTGATTCCAGTGTTTGCAGTTATGAAACAGCTGCAGTGGCAGGATTGGCTGTCAGTGACATCACCACGCAGTGGGGGAGGGGGGGTAAGCTTGTTTCCTTCCAAAGATTTTGCGTTTTTGTAACCATGGGGATAGTAAGACTTTAGACTAGATGGTCCCTTGGGCTCAGACCTGCGAGACATGTTGTACTTCAAAGTACAAGCTATTTGTTGCAGAGGAATTACTGCTGCCATATTTTTCAAAAGAACAAGGGGGGGGGATAACCACAGAGTGACATGATTTTATGTACTCTAGTGAAAAAAGAAACCTGCAGCAATGTCCAAAAAGCAAGTTCAGTTAAAAGTAATTGAAGAAGGTTCCAACTGAAACACAGGAGGCATGTGGCCCTCCAGACATTGGTGGACTCTAATGCTCTTCTCCTTCCTTAGTGACTATCCTGAGTTGGGGTCTAGAGCCATGTGGAAAGCTACCCTTACCCCATTCCTAATCTAATGTTATTCAGTCATATTTCAAAATGTGTTTGGGATTTGAAGCAATATAATGAATAGCCTTATTTACTAGTTACATCCCACCATTCCTTCAAGAAGATGAAGACTGCATAGAGTTTAGCCTGTACAGTAGTAGATCATGGAAAGAGCAAGTGAGTTGGGGGTACTTGGTGATCTTCTTGGCTCAGCAGCGTCGGGACCTGGATCTTCCCTGTCCTAGTCAGACACTACCACGAATCAACCACACTGGGTGCCCTATCCTAGGGCAGATCTATGCGTTCAAATGAGTATTCTGAAATCTGTGCTTGCCCAAGCAAAATATTTGTGGCAGGGGGGCACTGGGGAGGATTTTTCTGTCTTTAAAACAATAAAGATCTAAATTCAACATACCACAGGGAGAACTCCCTTTGTCTTCCCTCCCTCTTTCAGCTCTTCACTCAGCTTGAACATTCAGTGTCAGTCTAAGTAAAAGGGGGAACAGAGGTTTACAGTGGGGAGAGACCAATTCTTCCCATTTCTGCTAGATGCTATTGTTCCACCAGGCAAAGTCTAGCATTAGATACCACCCAAAACAAGTAGAATCATATTCTTATACTACGTTTCCCCAAAAATAAGGCAGGGTCTTATATTAATTTTTGCTCCAAAAAACTCATTAGGGCTTATTTTCAGGGGATGTTTTATTTTACAGTCATGTTATCTTCTGGTTGCTGCACAATGGTGGAGGGCCAGGTTTCACTTACTAGGGCTTATTTTTGGAGTAGGGCTTATACAGTATTACGAGCATCCTGAAAAATCTCGTAGGCCCTATTTCCAGGTTAGGTCACATTTTCAGGGAAACAGGTACATTTAGAATACAGTAACTTTCCACAACCATTGTATTTTCTAGCCCATAAAGATCACAAAAGTCTCTTCAACAACAAATGGAACATTCACTATTTACTCTTAAACTCATCCTGGATTTAAGTTAGACAAGAGTAATTTCCCCATTAAAACTGTATCCTTTATCTTACTGTGGAACATTATCACCTTTTTTGGCTAATCAGATTTTCTACTAATAATCTCAAATCATATTATTCTTGGTGATCTGTTAACGTTTACATCCATCTGTGTAGTAACTCATACATGGTAAATCTACTACCCAAGCACTTTCATTTGTAAGAAAACAGCTATATAGACTGTTAAGGACAGTCCAATGCTGACCTTAAATAGAAACACATATACAGTCCATGAACAGGAAAACAACTATTTCCTTGATGTCCATTTTAAAACAATTGTAGTGGTAAAGGAATAGTTTGTTATATTTGGCACCTAAGGATCCTGAAGCTGAGGCTCCAGTACTTTGGCCATCTAATGAGAAGAAAAGACTCCCTGGAAAAGACCCTGATGTTGGGAAAGTGTGATGGCAAGAGGAGAAGGGGACGACCAAGGATGAGATGGCTGGACAGTGTCTGCGAAGCAACCAGCATGAATTTGACACAACTCCGGGAGGCAGTAGAAGATAGGAGGGCCTGGCGTGCTCTGGTCCATGGGGTCACGAAGAGTCGGACACGACTAAACTGTTATATTTGGCACCTAAGGAGCTTGGGATAACTACTTTTATGGACAATAACCTCCACAATTTCCCAGCTACCATAGCCAACTGAAATGGAAATGGGGTCATAAGAACCCAGATGTTGTTTTTCTCCTTATCATATATGCAGCTCCAAGTAATTCTGAGTTTCTGAAACAACAGAGTACATTATTTCTATTGAAACAGCAACAAGTTAATTACAGTAAGGATGGATGCCTGTATGCATCATGAACATGTGGAAATGGATGACCCCCTAACAGTTTCTCTGCATTTTTTTCCATGCTTCATTTGAGACCTGCTACTCAGCAAAAGACCACAGTTCGGTATCTTGTGGTTTACAGAAACGTAGCCAGGAAACCCAGTTTTCTTTGTAAAGGAAAAGACGGTTTTTGGCATGGTGAACAGTGGTGAGGTGGTGTGCACCTGCTTTATTTCTGTTTGCTGCTGTTAACAATGGTAAAACAAACTCTGGCAGGATCATCCAGAGATGCTGGGCAATTTGAATTGGTTCCCCATCTTTCACTCTAATACGTACTCAATTCCCAGCATTCTGTTCACAGCATGACCGTGCAACTCATCCCCCAGATGTAGCTACACTCTTTAATGAGAAAAGACCTTATTTCCACCCATACAGTGTGCTATGAAGTGCACTGCCTCTCTTACCTTCCTCATATAAAGGTAAAGCTGTCTGTGTAATAGTCACCTAATTTTTAAAAAATGGCTAAAGCAAAGCAAAAAAGCAAAGCGTGCTGCTTATATACCGCCCCATAGTGCTTCAAGCACTCTCTGGGCGGTTTATAAGTTAATTATGCAAGCTACACATTGCCGCCACCCCCCTCCCCAGCGAGCTGGGGACTCATTTTACCAACCTCAGAAGGATAGAATGCTGAGTCAACCTTAAGCCAGCTACCTGGGATTGAACCCCAGGTCGTGACCACAGTTTTGCAGTACAGCGGTTTAACCACTGTGCCTTTGCAACTAGAGTAGGCCCACAAAATCAGTAGGACTTAAAGGGGATTTGACTCATCAAATCCCCACTGATTCAATGGGCCTACTCTAGTTGTAACTTAGTACTGGGTTTTACCCTCTGTAATACTATTATTGATCTTATTACTGCTTGTCTAAAATAAGCTAATTTTGAACTCCTGTTGTTCCCTCCTCCCCTATCCTTCCTATTTGCTTTCTAAAAGGTTTTAAAAGTGCACTATTACTGCAGCATCTTTAGAATTAACAAGTCTTATTTGGCACAAACCTTCATGGATGCAGTCATCTTCCACCACAGCTTGTGCCACATAATTCTTTGTTGTAAAGTGTGTCTAAAGATTTTCTCCTGTTATTGCCGCAAGAGACTGATGCATCCTTGGGAAATAATTATTACTAGAAACTGTTGTCTGTTTTTGTTTTGTATGCATGTATTTCTTTATTTCAATTTTTCCTTTTAAATAACCTAACTGAAAAGATAAACGACTGCAAGCATGGATCAGAAAAATAGATAAAACCAAAAGATCCTTCTCCAAACAGTTACAAGCAGCTTCCTTATTTCCAGCACTAAATCAAATCTAATTTCTTGTTGATTCCCAAACCAATTTCTTTATGTGGCAGTTTTCTCCTAGAGCTTGTCTAGTGAGGTACCCTTACTGGGGGGCGGGGGGGGCAGACAAGAGCTGAGTAATTTCATAGTTAATTCACTTCTAGAATTCGTACATTAGCAGTTTAACAAACCCCTCACCTGGCCACTTCCAGTCATTTAAGTAACACCGTTGATTATGTACCTAGTTTTTTACCCAGCACTCTACCTAGAAAAAGTAGCCTGCTCCTACAAGTATTGATACTGCTAGACTGAGAAAGAGGAGGAAATCCAGCAGGCGAAACGGAAAACAAGTGTCTACATGAATATTTTTTAATGAGGGAGGTAGCACCTCCAACCTCTGAACCCTAAATACCTGGGAATAAACCACATTAATCCCAGACGTACTTCCTTCCGAGGAACCATGCTCAGCACTGGGCTAAAGATTTATTCTAAATAAGATTTAATAGACTGCAACGCACCTCAATTCTCTGAATGTTTACGGAGACGTAAACACCACCGCATTCAGTCCTGACTTATTCTCTAGTCAATATATATAGGACCAAGGCACCAATATTATTATAAGGGACTATGAGAAGAAACAAAGGTTCAACAAGGGAACGCATCTAGCCCCATCCGGGTATTCCTGAGCAACACCACGGCGGAGCAACAAGGCATCCGCACAAAATGTATCTACGCCTGCGCACTAAGGGAGCGGTTGCTATAATAACAAATCAATGCGCAGGCGAACTCCGGGAGGCGGTTCTAGCGTAGGGAGGCGAGCTGTCTATTCTTAACGCCCATATGCATCGCTCCCACAATCCTTCCTCACTCGGGGGAAACGAGTTTGTCTTGCTTGCATAAACCTTCTAGAAACATGTATCCTAGCAACCAAAGAGGAGTCGATGCGTCATCTTGAGCAGGCACATCCGGATAGCACGTAGCGGCCATCTTGACAGACGGCTATCCCTTTGGTCGCCATCTTGACAACTAATATTATGGTAGCGCCACAGGGACAGTTAGTAACGCGCCATATTTGTTCCCGCCTTCAACATCCGGGCAATTTAGTACGTTAGCGCCATCTTACTTGATTCCCGATCCGGAATGTTCACCCCATTTTAGTTCCATTTTGAGCAGTACAAGCCGCTAGAGATTTCTGAGATCGCCATTTTGAATTGTCTCCTTGTTTACCGCACAACTGCCAATGAGCGATAGCTCAACTATTTAGAACATCCGGGCATTCAGTGCTCCGCCATGTTTAATATACCTTCGCCTACAAGAAACATCCGGGTCCTTTGTAGAGGTTTATTGAAACGAGGGAGCCATCTTGGGGCCGTGTTCCGCCCATCCGGATATTCAAGAAGCTGCCATCTTGAATGTGTATATATCCGCAGAAGCCACATACGGGGATACGCGAACCGCCATATTGAGTCGCATATAGTACGAGACGGCTATATACGGGCATTCGAAAGGACGCCATTTTGGCGTATGCTTGGAAGGGAGGGGGTACATCCGGGGAATTTATGGCGCCATCTGTTTTTCTGTTTTGTAATAGGGTTCGGAAAGGGGTGGGTCCAAGATGGCAGCTTCCAGGAAAGCGTGAAGTCTCAAATTGCGATCTTTTGAAGCACCATAGTACTCCCCTCTAATCGTAATCCGAGTGATTAAACCAATTGAATTCTTAAATGAACTTGAGGATGAAGGGACGCTGAGAAGTCAAAAGGGAGAATTACTGCTTTGGGCGTGACTGAGAAGTAGGGGGTTGCGTGGACATAGACTTGTAACACTCATTGTGGCCTTAAGACACGCAGGCAAGAGGAAATGTCTTCTGTCCTTGTTCTTTGCATGGAAAGGCTAATTCACGTGCGTCTGTAAACCAAAAGCTAGGTTAGACATCTCAATTTTCATCTAAGATGGCGGCGCCCATTGGATGGCTATCTAGGACAGGCGCGTATTCGCCGACAGAAGGAAGTATATGGCGCCTCCCCAAAGTGTTCGTGGCCGATAGTATTGGGGAAGACGATTATTGGAGGGAGCATGGTTTTTTAAAATGAGGGCGGGGTTTCCTATTCAAAATGGCGACTCCCACATAACATTCCGTTAGTTACACTGGGTACAGTTGGCAATGGTACTGGCAAATCAGCTGGGGTCTATTGAATTTTTTAAAAAACTGAGGATCACTCGTAATTGTTTCTCACCTACAAAAAAAGGGAGAGTTCCAAAGTCCACTAACATGGCGGGATACAAGCAGCCCTGCCCCCTGAAAATGGCGGCGCCCTGGTGGGAGGGGTTCCGTACAGAGGCCTCGTTTTGGCCCCGCCTACCGCCGCTGCCGAGGAAGAGAGACTCCTCACAGGCGCAAGATGGCGGCTCCCAGGGCGGCGTGAAGGCGCCTGGAGCCCGCAGCTTGCCCATCGGTGCCGTACAACGGGGGTGGATCGAGCGGCTTGGTGTGCTTGGAAGCCGGTGGGACGGAGCCCTGGCTTAGGATTCCGGGTTGGGGAGCCAGCAGGATCAGAGAGGAGGACGCGCCGGGTGGGGGGGACGAGGGGGAGGCGGCTTCTCCCTCCCTGCGGCCGCCATTTTCCGGCCGGGCAACACAAGATGGCGGCTCCCAGGGCCGGGCTCTGAGCGGGGGCCGGAGGGGGGCGGCAGAGGGGCTACTAGGAAGGAGGAGTAACTGCCCCACGCGGGGTAGTTCCCTCGTAGGGGGAATCTGTATAGTTTTCTAAAAGAGGAGAGGCAATTAGGGGTTTGATTTTGTAACAACCCCTCCTTTTCGTGTTGCAGGGGGAGAGTTTTTGCCCCATAAAGGGGTGTTTGTACTGAGAGAAGGGTAACCCAAACTCACTCACGGAGCGGCGGGTTAGCAGCTCCTCAGGAAAGGGACACTTGTGTTCGCCTGACTGCCACTGTCCCACGTCCAAAAAAATATTAGGCAGGTATTTGCCTCGCCAAGAATTGCTTTTGGAGATACATGTTTTTCAGTCTCTCCTTGCATCTACTCCGAGTTAGTTTGTCTTGTTGCAGCAAGGTGATCTGACCCAATTCCCATAGTGAGGGGCGTCCTAATAGTCAAAAGAAGAGTTGGCGGGGTGTTGTGTTCCATTTTAGGGGGGAACCAGTTCCTCTGAGAAAAGTGTTGTTGTCCTTGCGCATGTTTTTACCTTGAAAGAGGTAACGTGCATGTAGTGTTTTTTTTTTGAGGGGGGCCGCCCGCGTCTTTTTGTGATACCCTCAGATTAAAAAAAGATTGACAAGGTTGCCCATTGACTGACTGTTAGACAAGAGACTTATTTGAGAGTTGGGAGGTGGTTTCTATGGCTGCCGCCTCTCCTATTGTCCCTAGTGGGGGCTCCCCAACAGGTGGTGGGGCCACCCCAGGGTTGCTGCAGCCTCGCTGGAAGCGGGTAGTTGGGTGGTCGGGCCCTGTGCCTCGGCCCCGGCATGGGCACAGAGCGGTGGCCATCAAAGAGCTGATTGTGGTCTTCGGAGGGGGCAACGAGGGCATCGTGGATGAATTGCATGTCTATAATACAGGTAAGGGGGGAGTTGAATGGCCAGCAATGTATAGGGTGTTTGTACGTTTAGGGAGTTATCCTGATTTCCATCTACATAAGGAAAAAGCTGCCCTGTAATTGGTCCCAGAGAAATTTGTAATTCTGCACGAAATTACGAAGCGGGAATTCATACCTTGTGTATAGGGAAGTAAGAGAGAATGTGTGCGTGCGCGCAAAACTGCTACTTTCATCTTTGGCTCTGTGTGCCAGATCTGTGCAATTTTTTTTTAAAAAACTGTAACTTTCCGAAATCTGCAAGTGGTATACTGGAATGTATGGTGATAGAGTAGAGAGCTAGAAGGGCAAAACAGCCAGAAAGCCCCCTCTTGATTCTTCTCTGTTGAAAATCTTCCAACTCTTTGGGTGTGATAAGGAGCATGTGCTGCTTGTAGCTGCGCTCCTCTGTTGGCTGGAACGCTAGTGACTTTGCATTGGCAACTTTACTCCCCATATTTGTTTCTGTAGGGGCCACTTGTACTCATGATGTTGGTTTGCAATGTGTTCGGAGGGTTATCCCATTTTGGGAAAGGTGGCTGCAAGTCTTGTGTTTCTCATCTCCCAGTAGCAGCAATATCAGAGGATTATCTTGCTGGAAAAATGGGCGCCCCGGTCATCAGTCTCATTGGGGTGGGGGGGAGATGTAGGAGTGTCTAGAAGAGAATTTGTGGGCGGCAAAAAAAGCAAGAGCTATGCCTGCTTGATCAAAAGAGACAAACTCCAAAGAATTGTACATCATGGTGCTGGCATGCACAGTTTGGATCACAGCGCAAGGTACCCTGAGGACACAAGTGCTTTCCCGCTTTCACGTTAGCCCTGGTGTACTGGTGGCCATGCACTTTTATCTGGCATGGAACACTTTCCTCTCTGTGTCACTGCCCCATTTTCCCACATGCACTGATGTGATAGGTGTGGGGCGCTGACGAAGGAGCTATTCCTCCCCAAGGGCTTGGCGCCTAAAATTCAACTTTCAAATGCTACAGCTTTTAACTCCTCCTTGCCTGGTTTCCTAGGTCAGATATGTAGAACAGAAAAGTTCTGTGACTATGAAAGGCACTGCGGGTGGGGAGCAAGTGCTGGAACATTCCACCCTCTAGCTAATTGAGAAATATTGAAGACCTTTATCTCTCATACCGAGGGCTTGGAACTGTTCATTTCTCATAATGTCAGTTTTGGTTTGAAGTTGGCTGGAGTACTTCAGAGTAGTGGGTTTAAATTTTTTCTTGGTGCCAATGAGAAAAGCTGCTTTCTGCCTCTCTGTAAGCAAGTCCCACCCATATTCCACTGTGCTTGTTCTTTATTGGGAGTCTGGACTCAGGGTGGAGACTGTTGATTTCTACAAGCTGTATTTCAATGTTGTGTTTGTGATGTGGGTTCAGTTTCCTGCTAGATAGAATTGGGGGTGGGAGGGGTATCAGCTGGACCTGGTTAATTCTAAGGTTGTAGTTGATCCTGTGGAACATTATGAATATATTCCTTGAAGATCTGCAACCTATCAGCTGCTCAGAGTTTCTGTGGAGGTTCAGTTTCCTAATCCCTTTATCAGGCTTTAAACCCATGTAAGGTACCAAGGTTAGGTTCCAGGCACTTAGCCTGCTGATTGCTGGAGTGGCAAAAGCAGCATTGCTAGTGCAAAGCTGCAGAATGATACTGAGTTCTCTACAAGTAACTAGATTAAGAGTTCTGGGAATTAAACTGGATCTTAAACTTTATCAGAATGCATCCTGAAAATAGTCTTCATGGGTAATTTGGATGGTATTAAAGGAGTTTCATTTCTGGTCTACAGGATCCTACATAGTCTGAAAGGGACTATTAGACCAATGTGCCTTCAGCAATGGAATTTTCTACACTGCATTGTGGGTTTTTGTTTGTTTGTACCCCATCCTTGTTCTGTTGGGTACATGGATTGGAAAGCATTATTCTGGGCCAGCTTGAACATTTTGTGTGCTATACTTTGCTAGTTAATTTGTTTTGTAGCTTTCATATGAAACTGAGAATGGCCCTATACAAAACAATTTGGGGGCAAACATTAGAGTGAACACATAGTAAGAGTTGAAATCTAAGAGTTTGTACCCTGAAAGATTTCTAAACCCAGAAAGAAGCTCAGAAAACACAACACAGAGGAGGTTTTTCCACAGGAAGAATTTTGAGAGCACTTTAAACTCAATGCCAAAAAGGTGCAGTTTTAACACTTGTTTAATTATTCTCACACTGGATACACAAGGAATTCAGCTGTCCTCCCTGAGAAACACAAAGCTACACACTCCGTCCCTGCTGCTAGTCCATGTGCTCCTGCAAGAGCAACTTCTGCCATCCAGAAACAGGAGAATGTTTAGGTTTCCTACTGGAAACACAGCCTACTTGCCAAGAAGAGGAGTTTCCAAGTAAAGGAAGGTTCCACATTGATATTTCTTGGAGTTTTGCTAAACCTCACAATGTTGTATTTAATCAAAGCTAGTTGCACAGTCTTAGGTTAATTCCAAGAGTAAATGTATGGGACCGAAGCTGTGGATTGGAAGTGCATGTGACAGGAAGCATGTCAGCCTCCCACCCCCTCTTCCCCATTGACAGTCACCTCTGTGATAGTCTTGTAAAGTTTTGCTGGGTAACCAGAGGGAGGGAGGAAGGATGGGTCCCACATTTCTGACTGGCAACTACCTCCAGTTCTGCTCACTATAAACAGCCTTGGCCAGCAACCCCATCCCCTCTTCTACGTTCTGTGTTCATCCGGAGCCATTGCCGGAAGCTCTGTCCCAGAGCAAAAAGAAACACTCTTTCAGTCTCTACATTGTTGTAGCCAAGGTAGTCATTTGTAAAGGACCACTTCTTTCCTGGGCTGTCTCAAGACTGATGTCATAGGCTTGCCATATTCTCTGCAGCCTCTGAGTTGCAGGCCTTCTTTTTCTTGAGATATGGGGTATAAGTAGAGAGAGCAAAGGATGTGTCATACATGATGATAAGCAAGGCTTGGGGGCAGGGGTAACATAAACTAGAAGCTGTGTCTTCATATCAGGTATGACTTGGACCTCCTTTACTTGGTAAAACAGAATGGGGATGGGAGGGCGATCTTATACTCATATCCTTGGTGTAACTTGACCATGCAGTTTGCTCTTGAATTGTCTTGGTATTGCCTAATCCAGACTTGAGTTGCAGCTGAGTGCTGAATTTGCGGTGCCCCTCTTGACTTCCCTCTGCTTGTCTTCCAGCTACAAACCAGTGGTTCATCCCAGCAGTGCGGGGAGACATTCCACCTGGCTGTGCAGCCTATGGCTTTGTTTGTGATGGGACTCGTTTGCTGGTGTTTGGTGGGATGGTGGAGTATGGCAAGTACAGCAATGACCTCTATGAACTGCAGGTGAGTAGTTATAGGGTGCAAGAATGTCCTTTCCTTGTTTCAATAAAGATAAGTTGGAGTATTCGCGAAGGCTTTCACAGCCGGGATCTAATGGTTGTTGTGGGTTTTTCGGGCTCTTTGGCTGTGTTCTGAAGGTTGTTCTTCCTAACGTTTCACCAGTCTCTGTGGCTGCCATCTCTGAAGATGCCGGCCACAGAGATTGGCGAAACGTTACGAAGAACAACCTTCAGAACACGGCCAAAGAGCCCGAAAAACCCACAAGAACCATAAGTTGCAGTAGTTGACAAAGGAAGGAAGATTGTCCAGATTGGCCTAGTGCCAGCATGTATAATTCAGGTCTTGTCCTTTTTGTTAATTATTGCTTACAGCTACTGCATGAATCTACTTATTTGAGCAAAAGCAGAGGCTTGTAACCTCTGGTAGTTGTTATCTGTGCTCCTTCCCTTTCCTTCTGGTTAGCCATCTGTGTTGATTACTTCTACTGTTACACCTATCATGGGAAACCTCTGGCCTTCCAGATGTATAAGATTTTGACCTTCAAGGATGGCCAGTGTTAAAGAATGGTGGGAGTTGTAGTTTAAAACATTTGTGGTGTGCTTTTTTAAAAATCCAGCATTGGTTACTTACCTTAATACTGTAATCTTATGATTCTTGTTCTAGGCCAGCCGTTGGGAGTGGAAGAGATTGAAGGCTAAGACTCCCAAGAATGGTCCTCCACCCTGCCCACGCCTTGGCCATAGTTTCTCATTGGTGGGCAACAAATGTTACCTGTTTGGGGGGCTGGCCAATGACAGTGAAGACCCCAAAAATAACATTCCCAGGTACACAGACCATGTTTTGTCTTTTGTTCTAATGGGATTGCATCAGTCTCTGTAGCTGGTACTTCTTAGAAAGTCACAGATGTATTATTTATTTTATTCTTTATTTCATTTTGATATCGCCCATATGGCTGAGGGCCACTCTGCGCAGTTTACAACAGAAGACACAACGGCATAATTAAAACACCAATTCGGCAGAACAGAAAATAAATAATAACAAAATACAAATAAACAATACGATCAGAATTCATTAAAACACATTAACATTTATGTATTTGTCTTTACTTCACATTGAAAATGAGCTCCTTTTCACCCCAGTGGGTAGGAGAGCATAACCAGAATTGAGAAACAGAAAGAACACAGACATTTTTCACACAGAAAATGCCATTGTGCTTTTTTTTTTTTTTTAAGTAGGGGATTATGAATGGGTGGTCAGTGGTAAGCTGTTGAGAAATGCAGCATATCTTTCTGTTTCTTACTTTTTGTAACTGCTGCTCTGTTTTCCCTCTTAAAGGTACCTGAATGACCTCTACATCTTGGAGCTGCGTCCAGGCTCGGGAGTGGTGGCTTGGGACATCCCAATCACTTACGGTGTTCTGCCCCCACCGCGGGAGTCCCACACTGCTGTGGTATACACCGAAAAGGACAACAAAAAGTCCAAGCTGGTCATCTACGGCGGCATGAGTGGCTGTCGTCTCGGTGACCTTTGGACACTTGATATCGGTAACAGCACTGGGATTGGGAGTCTGGGGGCACCTTGCATGCTCTAGAACTTAGGAGGCTGGGAAGCAGGGTCAAGCCAAGGCGGTGATCTCTTTCTTGTGTTTTGTCTTCTTGCAGATTCTCTGACGTGGAACAAGCCCACCTTGAGTGGGGTGGCTCCCCTCCCTCGCAGCCTGCATTCTGCAACAACTATTGGGAACAAGTAAGCCCTGTGCCTGTCAAATTTTAGCTTGATTCTTGCTCCTAAATTTGATCTCATCTTCACTTTTCATCTTCCTGTCTGGCAGGATGTATGTCTTCGGTGGCTGGGTGCCCCTTGTCATGGATGATGTGAAAGTGGCCACGCATGAAAAAGAATGGAAATGCACAAATACTCTGGCTTGCCTCAACCTAGGTAGGAGGGGGTTCTGTTGAGCCTCCTTAAGCCCTTCCCATGTCATGATACCATGGTCCTTTCACGTTCTGTCCTTTCTGTGTCTCTCTTTCCTCACAGACTCCATGGCTTGGGAGCCTATTCTTATGGACACCCTGGAAGATAATATTCCAAGGGCACGAGCCGGACACTGTGCTGTGGCCATCAATACTCGGTTGTACATCTGGAGTGGCCGTGATGGCTACCGCAAGGCCTGGAATAACCAAGTTTGCTGCAAGGATCTCTGGTACCTTGAGACAGGTGAGAGGTGGTAGACCCTTAGGAAGAGGCATGACTAAACTGTTGTGAACTTTTGAGATTAAAGACCAGTTTGGATGTGCAGCAACAGTGTGCGATATATCCCTCCGTGTAATACTGTAGTTGAGATGACTCCATATTTATGTATGCCTCCACATATAAAAAGAAATTCCCTGCTCCCCATGGAACATTTAATATGTTGGGAATAAGTTTGCTACCTGCTGTAAGATGGCTAGGTTTTCAAAGGCATAACATTTCTATTATGAAGAGAGTCCAAGCACCAAATGCTTTTGAGGGCTCTCCAGTCATCTGAAACGGTCAAGTTTTCATCTGCCCTGTTCTCACCAGGTCATAAACTTTGAGGACTTGGAGGCTGTTGACGTGAACTTAAATCTCAGAAGCTGGTTCTCCATGTGTGGAGCACTCAAGCATCCACCTCTGAAAGTGATAACATTCTGAGAAAAGTTGTGCTCTATGACTTTTCGGAATATAAAGGTGTCACTTTAGTGTTGAAATCTTTACTGATTGTTGAAAGCATTCTGGTTTGCTGTACAGTAGATGCTCGTTCTCTTCTGCTTGGAATTGAACTGTGTTGGTACAGAGCTGGGATCCCCAGTGTCTCTGGCCTTGTGGATACTTGAGGGAGTAATGCAGGCTGGGATCAACCCACTATTTCTGTTGCCACCAAAGTTGCTTCTTCCCTCACTTCTGTCCGCATCCCAAACACATAAACGTGCTATTTTTATAGGATTTGATTAAAATGTGTATCCACTACAAGTAAAATGGGTTCCTTGAATTTGCATGACTTTTGAATCCCCATTCTCCGCCCCGCACAATCAAGATCAAATCACAGATTACAATATGATGATAGTTCTGAAGAAATTATGCATGGTCAAGGTAACCTATCTTACTGGATTCGTCTTCTACCTGCCTGTGTGCAAATACACCTCTCGGCTCTTCCTGTTGTAATTACATACCACCCTGCTCCCCTCCATCTTCCTAATACTATCTGCTCTTATTCCACAGAGAAACCTCCATCGCCTTCGCGGGTGCAGCTGGTCCGTGCCAACACCAACTCCCTGGAAGTGAGCTGGGGTTCTGTTCCAACTGCTGACTCTTACTTGCTGCAGCTGCAAAAATATGACATCCCAGCTGCGCCCTCGCCAGCTGCCAACCCTGTACCCTCAGTGCCTGTCAACCCTCCGAAGAGCCCTGCTCCGGCTGCAGCTGCGCCTGCCCCAGCTGTGCAGCCACTGGCACAAATGGGCATCACTCTTCTGCCCCAGACCACAGGTGTTGCTGCTGCTGCCGCCGCTGCAGCCGCCGCAGCAGCAGCAGCTTCTCCTGCCCCACCTACTACAACGACCATCCAGGTGTTGCCTACTGTGCCTAGCAGCCCAATGCCAGTGCCTGCTGCCGCCGCTGCCGCCACTGCTGCCACTCCTCGCCCACAAGGTAAGGAAAGCCTAGAGGGGCCGGGGAATGCAACCCTTTGACAAACAAAGCCCTGTCTCATCAAATCCTAGCATTTTGCAACTGGTGAAACATCTACTTCATTGCTAAGAGGAATTGTGATCAGGAGAAGAGTTTTCTATGGTGGTTGTGTGTAAGAATCGCCTTGTGAGCTGCTTCTTATTTTTAAGAGGTGCAGATCTTTAACTGAGATTCTTTGATGCAATAACACTCCCACATCTAAAGGGAATGTGTTTCTATTTCTTTGTCACTCTATTTATTTGTGTGTGCATGTGTCTGGTCTCTGGGTGTCTGTGAATTTCGTTGTATGGTATACTGTGTATATACTTACAATTGATTAGTACAAAGTTGGGGGAGCACACTCTTATTTTCCAGTATTCTGGAGAGTTTTAGTAATGTGCTGCTTAGTCCCAGTACTCGGAATTAAGAGGAAACATGTGCTCTAGAGCAGTGGCAGTGAACCTTTTTGGGCCCGACTGCCCAAACGGGGGTGGGGGCCAAAGTGGTGGTGGAAGGGGGAATCCCGGGCACAGAGGTGCCTTGGGACCCCACTCTGGATCCGTCACCAGTGGATCTGCTGCAGATCCTGGCCCACCACCTGTTGAAGCATCAGCACTCTCCCCATCCCTCTCTCCAATTAATCTCATGGAATATAGGTGGCTGGAGGAAAAAAGCTTCGGACAAAGACCTGCTAAAGTTTCTCTCTAGCTACGACATTATTCTCTTACAGGAGGCCTGGTTATTAACTCCTCTGTCCATTCCGGGTTTCCTTACTTATCATATCCCGGCTGTTAAATCTAAAACAAGAGGGCGCCCCTCCGCGGGTCTCTGTTGTTTCCTTAAACCCTCCTCCTTATTCACCCTCACCTCCATCCCTTCCCCCTCACTCTATATTCAAATCTTCCTCCTCCAGTACGGTCAACATAAAATCCTACTACTTAATCTTTACTTCCCACCTCCATCCTCCTCTTTGAATAGCACCTGGGTGGAGGTAGAGAACCTTGTCAACCTTAATCTGGAAGCTTATCCATCTGCCTACATTTTGATCCTGGGGGACCTTAATACCCGGTTAGGACCCAATAACTCTGTCCTAGCCAAACATATAAATCTGGAGTTTGATGAGTCGTCTCCCCCCTGGCTCAATCGCCCAAGGTCTTCCAGAGACAAGATTATCACACCTCATGCTACCTTCTTAATTAACCTCTGTCTCAATCTTCACATTGCCATTCTTAATGGCACATGGGGTAAGGACATCCCTGGTGAATACACCCACCTCTCCATTAGAGGTCCAAGCGTAATCGATTACGCCATCGCTTCCCCAGCTCTTTTCCCCTTTCTCTCGGACTTCTCTGTTGGTGTTCGTGCTGACAGTGACCACCTGCCTCTTCTTTTGTCCCTAACCTTCCCTTCTTCCCCCTCCTCCCCCCAAATTCCCCCTTCACAACCCTCTTGTCGCCTTATATGGACTTCTCAAACAGAAGCTGAATTCTTCTCCTGGACTTTACTGCCAGAGATCTCCAATCTTAACCTTACCATTGCTACAACTGACTCTATCGCCACAGCTATCACCTCCTATAATACTCTTGTGGATTCCTTAATTACTTCCCTTAGTAGTCCAACTAATTCCCCATCCCATAACCGTGCCACTTCATGGTTCGACTCCGACTGTTGGCAGGCCAAGAAACATGTTAGATCTCTTTTCCACTCTTTCCGCCTTAACCCTACCCCAGCGTCTCTACAACACTACCTTACTGTCAGAAAGTCCTGCACATTACTTTTAGACTCAAAAAAACATTTCTTTGCTCAACGCA